GCAGGAATGGGGCACAAATGTGTCTCTGAGCTTTCTTGCAGCCAAAGCAAATAGGGCAATGTTATCATGTCCTGAAATGATCCAGTGTCTGAGATAAAAACAAGCCAACTGTGCTCACGAAGACCAAACTTACCCTCGAAACTAAGAACTCAGAGAAATTTCTCCTGAGGGTTTTCAGAGTAAGGTGTTGTGTAACACAATAAACAATGCGTTCACTCAACCACATCCTTACCTTAGAGACCACAGTGAGTGACACAATTACCTTCTCCTTAGATTCATGCCATAAAAAACAAACAATAATTCAAATAAAGTAATTGGGATAAAAAAGTAGAATGGGGTGTGTAAAACACTACAGTGCAGGGCTGCCACTCTGATGGTCTGGAGAGATGCAGAAGATGTGAATGGCTTACATATCTTCTAGGTTATCTCCCATTCAGTGTTTCTCTAAACCAAGCTTCTGATCGCATTATCTGGCAGTGAATTCAAGGTCATACTCAAGGCGGGTACTCAGAATCTAGCTACCATACATTGTTATTTACATGGTAGAAGAGGAGGAATTGGGAGGAATTGGGGGATGGACTAATAGTCTCTGAAAAGCCATCAGTGAAAGTTGATGTGCAGAGTAACTATTATATTATTTATGTCTCTTTCAAAAATAAAAATGTATGTTTCAGTCTGGCCCTATAGCTCAGCAGTTAATCACTATGCAGAGGAGGCCAGATCCCATATGACCAACCAGAGTTTGAATCCTGGCCCTAGGGGCAACAGGTGAGGCACAGGTACACGAGTGTCTGGGATCTTGATGGCATGGAGAATTGGAGGAGGAAGGATCGTGGGATGACCAGGCTCTGCTGGGGGTGCCTCCTTCCTTCCTTCCTTCCTTCCTTCCTTCCTTCCTTCCTTCCTTCCTTCCTTCCTTTCTCTCTCTCTCGCTCTCTCTCTCTTTCTCCCTCGTTCCCTCTCACACATCTGCACACACACTCTAACATGAATAAAAGAAAAAAAAATTAATATTTCCCCCCACATAATGTTTTACGCAAGATAATCTACAACCCACATTTCATATTCATGCCAGCCTTATCTTTCTAAGATACAGATGAGACACTACAGCTATCCCTCTCAAAATTTTCCAGAGGCTCTCTATCACTACTGAATAAATGTCAAAGTTTACAGGCATTGAGTGTCAGATCCTTTATACGGGTCTAATCCTGCCTTCTCACTGTCACCTCGTGTCTCTTACCATATACCCCATATTCCAACCAGCAAAGGGTGCTTAACAGCTGTCTTAAGAAAACAGCAGTAAGATAAACCTCACTGATCAGAGTTTTCCAGACATCCGTATGGTCTTAGATCTTCTTGTGCCTTTCTCATGTTGGTTGGATCTCTTATTTTCTCACAAGAAAAAGAATAAATCAGGTGTCCTGAGTGTGCAGTGGTCCCCTTTTGTGTCTGTCACTTAACTGCTTCTGTGACAGGATCATCTAACTGATTTTACAGAATTTCTGCCTCACCCTCGGCCTCTATGCCACAGCACTGAGCCCTAAATGAGTCCATCCCTTCAAACATGTGCACAAGGCTGGCGAACCACTCACCCTACAATAAGGTTCCTTCTTCTTTATATCTTCCTGTTGGATCAGCCTCAGGCCCTGAACACCATTCTGCAGGCCTCTCTCATAAAGAGCCTGAAGTCTGGGAATTTCTTCCTGTTCAACAGCTACTATAAGCTTTAAAACAAATCAAAACAAACAAACGAAAAAGAACAGAACAGAGCATGGACAACGTTAAAAACATCATCACCTATAAAAACAAGTCAATAGAAAATTACAGATTATGACATGACTCAAGAGAAAGAGACAGAGGCAGTGAGAGGGAAAAGGAAAAATCACCACCCAACCAGGGGGCACCCTGCAATTCATTCTCTTCCACTCTTCTCAGGATCTTGGGCACACATGCACACATATGCCCAGCATGGTTTTTTTGTTGTTTTTTTTTTTTGTTTTTTTCCCAGCATGAGTTTTAAGCCACTAGGTCTGGGACTCAAACCACAGTCAGCCACACAGGAGTCCAGTGACATAACCACTATGCATCTGCTGGTCCCATGTGTAATAATTTCTAGATAATTTTTTTCTGCATGTAACTACTTCTTTCTTTCCTCATGACTCTATTTTCTTCCTCTGCCAAGAAAAGTTTTCTTGAGAATATCATTACAGGCCAGCAGGTGGCGTGGTGGTTAGGGCACTGGACTCTCACATAGCTGACTATGGTTTGAGTCCTGGGCCTGGCAGCTAGCTTTCTCTCTCTCACTCTCTCTCTCTCTCTCTCTGTGAGTGTATGTGTGTGTGTCTGTGTGTGTGTCTGTCTGTCTGTCTCCCTCCCTTTGGTGAGTGCATGGGCCCTATAGCATATTAAAAAATAATAAGGGACCAGCAGTTAGTGTAATGGCTTTGTTGCTGGACTCCCACGTAGTCAACCGCGGTTTGCGTCCCAGACCCGGTGACTTAAAACTCATGCCGGGCATGTGTGCGTGCATGCCCAGGATCCTGAGAGGAGAATGGAAGAAAAGGGATTGTGGCGTGGCCATCTCCCCTGGGGGGTGATTTCTCATTTTCTGTCTCTCTGTCTCTCTCTGTCTGGTGAGCACACACACCCTATAGCAAAAACCTCTCCAAAAAAATAATAATAATAAATTTTAAAATAATTAAATTTTTTTTGTTGTTTTTTTAAAGAGAACAGCATGAAAACAAATTTTGCCCAGGGATAAGATATAGCTTCAATTTCCATTATATTAACTATAGTCTCTATTGGGCATAAGCAATCCTTATCACCAACACTTCCTCAATTCCAGAGGGAAGAGAAACATAAGTTGCTTAGTCTATACTTTATTTTTTTCAAAACAGAATACTTTCATATTTCTATAAGAAAATGTGGGGACCAGCAGATGGCATAATGGTTACATCACTGGACTCCCACATGGTTGGCCATGGTTGGAGTCCCAGACCTGGCAGCTTGAAACTCACACCAGGCGTGTATGCATGCATGCCCAAAATCCCAAGAGGAGATGGAGGAGAAGGCATTGTGGCATGGCCATCCCCTCTGGGGGCTGATTTCTTGCTTTCTCTCTCTCTGTCTCTCCAGTGAGCACACACGCCCTATAGCAAAAATCTCTCTAAA